GCATGTTCCACTGTATCGTGTTGAACCTTGCCACCCCGGACTAACCAGAGTGAGAAGCATTCGGTTTCATTTATTTGAAATCAAACGTGTATTGGAATTAACAATCTTTAAACTTACGGATTTGTTTATTTTATACTTGTTCATTCAAAATGTTTATGCCAACAAAACGTTATTAAAAGAAAATGCAAAAATATTATGTATAATTGGTCAAATTTTGATCGAAAGTCACAGCTCTCTGATATATTGACAGAACCGTTAAATCTACGTGCCAGTAAATATTAAATCTTTTATCCAAATATCTACAAAAATGTGTATTTTACCTCTAATATACAAGAAAGTATAAAATACAAAATAGAGTGGTCGGCATTATATCAATACAATAAAGACGACTTTTCTATCTAAGTTTTGATTTCTAACAAGTTTTTTTTAATTATAAATTTACAAGAAATAAAAGAAAAGCTGTTAATTGAAAGCTTCTCTATGTTTACATGTTTATGTGTATCCAATATCCAAGCTGTTAATTGACAGCTTCTCTTTGTTTACATGTTTATGTGTATCCACTATCCAAGCTGTTAATTGAGAGCTTCTCTTTGTTTAAATGGTTATGTATATCCACTATCCAAGCTGTTAATTGACAGCTTCTCTTTGTTTACATGGTTATGTGTATCCACTATCCAAGCTGTTAATTGAAAGCTTCTCTTTGTTTACATGTTTATGTGTATCCACTGTCCAAGCTGCTAATTGACAGCTTCTCTTTGAATTAATTGAAAGCTTCTCTTTGTTTACATGTTTATGTGTATCCAATATCCAAGCTGTTAATTGGCAGCTTCTCTTTGTTTACATGTTTATGTGTATCCACTATCCAAGCTGTTAATTGAAAGCTTCTCTTTGTTTACATGTTTATGTGTATCCACTATCCAAGCTGTTAATTGGCAGCTTCTCTGTGTTTACATGTTTATGTGTATCCAATATCAAAGCGGGTTGAAAGCTTTGTAGAAATCAAACATTGAAATAAAAAGTCATCTTCATTGTATTGATACTTACGACGACGACTGTGTAATACATTTAAATGATAAAAATGGGTCCCAAAGTATTGGCTGATATTAAACCTGGAAACCTTTCGAAATAAAATTATACGGATAAGTTTCCAACCCTAATATGAACTAAGGGTTTATCCTGCCTAATCCTAATCCTTCAATGACCTAGATGATATCCCTGCATCTAAACATTATCTAGCGTTACTTATTCAACATAAACAACAAGTTAAATTGATTAAATGTTACTAATAGTACGACGTTGGTCTCTCATAATGCCTCCACCTTTTTTCCATGCAAGATGCAAGAAAAAATGTAAGTATTTCTGAAGTAAATAAAAACTTGCTAATATAAATACTCTTCTACAAGGTACTAATGCAAGGAAAGTTAATTGCAGTCGCGTATACTCTGCATACATATTGAAACCAGTTCTCTCTGGGCGGAATTTGTAAACAAGAATAGATGCATCAATGTTCGTTTAGTATCCGAGGAGATTAAAAGCAATAAACTTTTTTAATTTTGATAATTAACATAATAGTTTCCTATGAAATATGGATCTCATGTCAGGCTGTGACATCCGTCTTGTGTTTAAATTACCGCCCAGAGACAGTACACTGCAGTACAAAAGATGCGTACACCTTTGACATGACTTTCCTTGCATTATAACCTTGCTCTTCTATATATATTCAGTATGAAGGTTATACCTTTACCAGGATATACATATATATTAACACACATACTAAACTAAACTCAAATTTAGTACGTAACGGATAAACACCGATCACGTCTTCTTACAAATCTTTGGTCATAAACCTAACAAAAAACATTCTTCCAATCCGTATTGGAATATGTGTCTGTATTGTTTAATCTGGAGGCGTTATGAAATTGCTGGTTGAACTGGCAACCCCTGTAAAAATTAGGAATGTTTGTTGTGTTGAGTTTGGTGTGTGCTAAGTCGTGATGTGTTTATATTTATATATATAAATATATATATATTTTTATATTCCTCACCTATTTGTCAGGGTTTTACACTGTGTACACTACACCAGCCCCAGGCAGATAGATAGGTAGATAGATAGATAGATAGATACATAGATAGATATTGATAGCTAAATAGATAAAAAGAAGGATAGATAGATAGGTAGATAGGTAGATAGATAGATATATAGATAGGTAGAAGGATAGAGATAGATAGGTAGATAGATTTATAGATATATAGATGTATAGATAGCTGAATAGATAAATAGACAGATAAACAGCAAAATTCATTTCTTCGGAGAAGTTTTCATAAAAAGAATAAAATTGTTGGACATATTTATTACACGCAAGAATTATGTCTATTATTCAACAAATTAAATAAAATACTTATATTGAAATAACAATGAAATGCAAAGGCCAAACTAGTCTTATTTAGTAGTATGTATACGGAATGTATATCTGAATAAACCTAGTTACGTTTTTATTTGTTGTTTAAGAAAGAATTTAAGAAAGCGTATTGTTGAACGGTCCCTTTAAATGTTTTAATGTTAAAAAAGAAATAGCCGAAAAAAGGATAAAATAGAAAATGCGAAATATCAACTTGTTTTGGGCGAAAATAAGGGGTTGAAATTAATGCCATTAAACAAAAAAAACTTCAAGAAATTAAAATTCATAGAACGTACATCGATATAACAATGCAGGCAGACACAATATTCAAGAATTGAAATCTTCAATTGTACGTACGTATTTTATAAATGATATGATTAAAGTAACTGATTTCTCCTTTAATTTCGTTTTTAAATCCTTATATAATTGCAACCTGATGGCAAAGAGCTTTGACATTTCAAGAAATATATATTTTGAAAAATCAAATATTCAACGTTTGAAACATAAGGTTGTCTCACAAGATTTCAGAACCTAACTTTCAGTTAACATTTGAATACGATCATTCTTTACGACTCAAATATTTCCCTCAAACTAGCTCCTGTATGCCGAGTCCATTACAGGGGACATTAGTTCCAAAACTAACACTTGGCCCATTTCTAACACTGATTGTAAGAAATGGGCCAAATCTACAAAGTTATCTTTTTCAAGAGTATATATCTTTAAATCCAAGTCGAGTAGAACAAAATTACTCCATGTATTTATAAAAAAGGGCTAAAACTATATATTGAAACAATAAATGTCAAGTTTAAACTAATAATAAGGTGTGAGAATTAGTTTTTGATGATTCTTGATTTAATTTTAGAACATATCCCTATTTTGAAACAATTACCGGATTTCAGCTCATGTTGCGTTTTCGGAACATATCCTGGTTTTGAGACAATTGCCGGAATTCATATCAATGTCAATTTTTAAGTATTTACGCACTAATGAAACAAAACAAGATTTTTTGATCAGGTAAAATATAAACAAAATAGGAAACAAAAACAAACTGTTCTTTTATAATTTAAAAATCATAACAGCATATAAAAATTAAAATATTAATATCATTTGTTCTTACAATATAGATTTAACTAGAAATGTGGGAAACTGTTTGTTTAAAATGCTTGAAAATAAATCCTCGATATTCTCTAATTTAACAGATAAAATGTGGAAACTTAGATTCTAGAAATAATTCAGAAGTTAATTTAGTCTTCTTAAGATAATTTTTGTTTTAGTGATTAATTTTGGAAGTTTTGAAAGTGAGTTTTGTTTTGAATTGTGGATTATACTCAAAAACGGGAAAGTGGGTTTTGTCTCGAAAACGCGACAATGTTTCAAATTCAGGATATGTTCGAAAATGGAAAACCTAACATTGTCTTGAAAACGTTCAAGAGATTTAATATAAAAGAACTCCTATTATAATTTTGATTTAAAAAAAGTTTAAAATTGGTAATTGTTGTCCTCGTCATGTTTATGTTGGTTATAGTTTTTATTATCGACTTTTACTCTGGCTATGGGCCGGGATCCAAAAAACCCAGTCTTTCAATTTGTGCCCATTTCTAACACTCAGTGTTAGAAATGGGCCAAGTGTTAGTTTTGGAACTAATGTCCCCTGCATTAGCGCCTGATCCTATCAGTGTTTGTTGTCTATTCTAAACCAATAAAAATAGTATGGCGGTAACATCTAACTTTCCATCTATCTCATTATCCAATTAGAGTTATGAATCCTTCAATCGGCATTATCAGTGAATGGAAATATTTACTTCTACTAAAACTATAGTGCTCAAACTAATTCATATCTGTATATATACTTTCCTTGTCTGCCTGTCTGCTTGTTTGTATCCAATAAACGTCAAAACGGCTGAACCGATCGGGCCCAAATTTTGTGTGGGACTTTGCATGCCCCCGGGGAAGGTTTATGAAAAAATTTGCCTTCAACTGAATTAGATTTTCACTAAATTAAAAGAATCCACGACATTTTTTATAAAATCCGCCAATTTTTTGGGGGGTTTTGTTTTACAATGTACGTATACAAATAGAAACTGTTCACAATTGAAATAGAAGATGGACGCGAAGCGCCGGTAAAAGCCTAGTTTTAATAAAAATCAACTCAAAATGGCATAATTTATGTTTAAAACAATTTAAAAAAAACATACAATTATTAATTTTTTTCCAACTATCTTGAAAATTTTGTTTCAAAATGGCGATATGGACATTATTTGTATTTATACAAAGTGTTAAGAAGGATATATTTGATTACGAAGCAAATGTTATTCATGTATAGCACAATGTGCGTTCAGGCGCGCATTGAATTAGAGATGCGTGCCTAACAGAAAATTAATGTTTAATTATTATTCTATGATTATTAAATTATTTAATTAATTTAAAACAATCAAGCTTGCCCAGCCTTCTTATGTTCTGACATTTTATAATATAATGTTTAATTTTCAAGATGTGCGCGCACATAATGAAAAATCACGAAGTGAGCGTAATCAGTGTAATTGATCTTATTTACATTAGGCGCGTAAACTGTGCACTACAGAGCACAATGTGCACCCGCCGCACGCACACAAGGGAAGCTCTGGTTTCAAATTTTCCTAACTCAACTCAGCTCCGATTTGGCCGGCATTTTTCCGTCGATTTTCTCACACATTCAGCGACCAATCAGGAGCCTTGAATTTTATTCTATTATGTTCCATCATCCAATGGGAGCCCGAGACGGAAATCTGGCGGACCAGGTCGGGACTTGTTGGACCTTGGAGACGGACCGGGACGGATTGTCCGTCACTAATGTACTGGTTCGACGAATGTAAAGTCAATTAGTGAGGTTTAGTCGCTACCAACCTTTATCATTGACAAGTTCTCAGAGTAACACAAACTCACGGTGACAAAACGCACACATCAAAAGCATTAAATATTCCAGCACTGATCCAATGCCAATTTTTAACTAAAAGACATAAAAAGCGTATTATGGTGATACGGATTGCAGACCCGGCAAGCATTTTTGCGTACCCAGACTATTCGCAACCAACAGACCTTTCTAGGACAGAAGCCAAAATAATGTAAGTATAAATCATTTTAAGGAAAACTCGATGAATATAGAAAAAAAAGTTATTTTATTATCCCTTATATATAATTACTCAGATTAAAAGTGCAATTTTGCAGATGTTCAGTTTTATTGCGACTAATAATATCTTGCAAAATTTTTAATTATTTAGTATAAATTCACAAATTAAAATTGAAATATAAAACTATTGGTTGACTATAAAAACATCGGCTGTTCTTTTATATCGTAAAAAAATCTGTATTAAAAATGTATATTTTAATATTAATAAAAATAATTTTCATTAAAACATTTCGAGAGTTTTGTACTTATTTGTTTCTAAATAATGTTTTAAAATTTATGCACTAATTTAAAAAGCCGGTTAAAAAATACAAACTTTAATTTACTTCATAAACAAAGTGATTTTTGTTGCAAAACAATTATTTTATTATTTTTTCCATTCTTGGAAAATGAAAATAAAAAGATTAAGAATGATAAACACAACGCGTCGGGGACTTTTTGTCCATGTCATTCTCAAAAATTTGATTCACATTTTTTCAACTTTCACGGATTTTTAGTTTTTATTATCTTTGAAATTAATGATATATAGTGTAAATTAGAGAGATTTCGCCTAAAGTAAATTGATTTTTTCAGTTTAAAATTTGTTTAGCAAAACTGAACCAAATGTCCAAAGAAAATTCCTTGTACTTTGAATCGAAAAACGATCAGATAAAAAATGATTGCCAACCCCAAACAAAATATACAATAAAATCTTGGATGTATCCAATAATTGATGTGTATCGGTGATAATATCCAAGTTTAAGGACGAATCCCTGTAATTTAAACACTACTCCTGTTCTCTAGACTATATCCTGTCCAGACCTGTATATTACCAGGGGGACAACTCAGATTCTACACTTTTTGGTTTAAACCATTATATAACGATTATTAGTCGTTTTATTTGTTGGAATAAAACTTTTTTATTATAACAAAATTTGAATATCCCTGTTCTGTCATGACATTTTTTCATAACAAATATTGTTAAAGAAGAATTAATATTTACTTTTTACCACAGACCTTATAAGCAACAGAAAAAACAAAAATTGTTTTATTAATGCTGAGATTGAAAATTAGTTTGTATATATATAATAATATATTATTATTTAATTTGAAAAATTCTAAACCTTTTTCCTTAAACAATACCATTTTTGCAGACTTTAAACTAAGAAAAACTATTTGTTTTCTAAAAAATGAGATGGATCTGGATGGAATAGGAAGGAATGAAATGGAATAGGAATAGAAATGGGATAGAATATAAAGGAAAGAAGTGGAAAGGAAAGTAAATAAGGATGGAATACGATAGCGGAATAGATTATGATGCAATTGGATTAGGAATGGACAAGGAGGGAATACGGTACTTAGATTATAATAAATTGGGTTAGAATAGGTTGGAATAAGATGGAATAAAATAAATTGGGATGGAATAGAATAAACTGGGTTGGAATAAGACAAAATTGAGCGAACCTTGATGTTGGAAAAGGATAGAAAGGAATATATTGGAATCTAAATGGAATGAACCGGCTAGGATTAGGATTGAATTAAATGGATTGGGATGGATAAGGATGGAATTGGATGGATCGGGATGGAGTTGGATGGATCAGGATGGAGTTGGATGGATCGGGATGGATTACGATGGAATGTAGTGGATTGGGATGGATTAGGATAGAATGTAGTGGATTGGGGTGGAATTGGATTGACTGGGATGGATTAAGATGGAATGTAGTGGATTGGGATGAAATTGGATGGATTGGGATGGATTAAGATGAAATGTAGTGGATTGGGATGGAATAGGATGGATTGGGATGGAATAGGATGGATTGGGATAGATTGTAGTGGATTTGGATTGAATTAGATGGAATAGGATGGAATGAAATGTTTACACCATGAACCAAAGGTTGCAAGCTCTCACTCAAATATCGATGAGAGTTATTCCAATTACTTCTTAAAGCCTGAAGCTAAAAACAAGTGCTTTTTAATCTTAATATGTACATTGTACATATCTAAACCTTCTAAAAAGTATAATTGAGTTGGTGGGGTAAAATCAAAGTCCAAGGCACTGCGAGGCTTCAAAGACGGTCTTAAAAATTAATGCAACTTTTCCCAGCAGTCTGGATCTATGTATTTGATGAATGCTGAGTTGTGGTTAAGTATGGTTAGGTAGGAGAAGGAGGATTGGATATAATTGACCAGAAACATTATTATAAAAGACANTATCTCAGTGTTGAGTAGTACCTTTTAGATTCAGGGCTTTCAGGCCAATTCCTTTGAACATAATTTCTTCTGTATTCAAAGATATCAAATCAAATCAAATAGCTACATCTTTCTCCTATCTATCCATCTATCTATCTATCTATCTATCTATCTATCTATCTATCTATCTATTGTTATATCTATATCTCTGTCATCCAGGATGATATATACATATATATTAATATTTTAAGAAACCGAATGACAAGTACATAAATGAATTTAATAGTTTGATGAGTGAAATTATTTAATAAATTAAAGAATGAATAAATAATTAAATAATTAAATGGATTTAATAGATAAATGAGTAAAAGAATGAATGAATAAAGGATCAACAGATGAATAGTTAAATGAATAAATTTATTTATAAATGAATGAATTGGTGAACAAATGAAGTAATGAATTTAACAGATTAATGAATGAAAGAGTAAATAAATAAATGAATATATTGATTAATTGATAAATAAATGAATGATAAAATTGATAAAATTACAAATTGATTTATTTCTATCAAATTGGGTCCAACTCGAAATTTAAAAATTGCCAGAGGGTTAAATCATTTGAAACATAAATAAAAAATTACATGATAGAGTTGGATCGAGACAGATTTAAAAATAGAAAAGAAAGAAATATGAACAAGAAAGGTAGAAAAAGGTTTGATATTAAATAGAACAAAACAAATAATAAGAGAAAAAAAGACTGATAAAAAAGAAATGAATAAAAATAAAGGAGATACAGAAAGAAATGAATAAAAAGAAAGGAGACACAGAAAGAAATGAATAAAAATAAAGGAGATACAGAAAGAAATGGTTGAGAAAACCGGAAAGGTAGACAAAAGGATAGATTGATAAATGTGTTAAATTGCATACAATTAAAGTATTATATGTCATTAAGTGCTTTGCAACGGTTATGACACCTGTTCATATAAAACATGTTTTGATTCTCATACATTTCAAATAACATTGATAATATATGATACATCAGATCTCCATCCAGTATTGAGTGGTATCCCTGAGTATATCTAGATGATCTCCAGTATTGAGTGGTATCCCTGAGTATATCTAGATGGTCTCCAGTATTGAGTGGCATCCCTGAGTATATCTAGATGGTCTCCAGTGTTGAGTGGTATCCCTGAGTAAATCTAGATGATCTCCAGTACATGAATGGTTATACCCTGAGTAAATATAGATGATCTCCAGTGTTGATTAGTACCCTGAGTAAATCAAGATGACCTCCAGTGTTGAGGAGTACCCTGAGTAAATATAATTAATCTCCAGTATTGAGTAGTACCCTGAGTAAATATGATGATCTCCAGTACATGAATGGTTATACCCTGAGTATATATAAATGATCTCCAGTGTTGAGTAGTACCCTAAGTAAATCTAGATGACCTCCAGTGTTGAGTGGTACCCTGAGTAGATATAGATGATATCCGGTGTTGAGTGGTACCCTGGGTAAATCAAGATGACCTCCAGTGTTGAATAGTACTCTAAGTAAATATAGATGATCTCCAGTATTGAGTAGTACCCTGAGTAAATCTAGATGATCTCCAGTATTGAGTGGTATCCCTTAGTATATCTAGATGGTCTCCAGTATTGAGTGGCATCCCTGAGTATATCTTGATGGTCTCCAGTGTTGAGTGGTATCCCTGAGTAAATCTAGATGATCTCCAGTACATGAATGGTTATACCCTGAGTAAATATAGATGATCTCCAGTGTTGAGTAGTACCCTGAGTAAATATAGATGATATCCGGTGTTGAGTGGTACCCTGGGTAAATCAAGATGACCTCCAGTGTTGAATAGTACTCTAAGTAAATATAGATGATCTCCAGTGTTGAGTAGTACCCTGGGAAAATCTAGATGACCTCCAGTGTTGAGTAGTACTCTGAGCAAAAAAAGGATCTCCAGTGTTGAATAGTACTCTAAGTAAATATAGATGATCTCCAGTGTTTAGTAGTACCCTGGGAAAATCTAGATGATCTCCAGTGTTGAATAGTTCTCTGAGAAAATCTAGATGATCTCCAGTGTTGAGTGGTACTCTGAGTAAATCTAATGATCTCCAGTATTGAGTAGTACCCTGAGTAAATACAGATAATCTCCCGTGTTGAGTAGTACCCAGATTAGATCTAAATGATCTCCATTGTTAAGCTAGACTGTGATTAGTACAAGATTAACATCAGATCTAATATCATTTAGTAAACTTACTGAACCAGCTCAAACACATATATACATATACATTATTAGGCATATAACATAATAGATAACTGGATAGTTACATAGGACCGATTAGAGAAATAGATAGATAGATCTAGAGAGATTCACAAGCTATTTTACCAAAATCAATAATAATTATGAAGTATAATTACATAAATCTATTAAACTCATTATTAAACAATTAACCTCATTAAACCAACTAGTAGTTGTGCTTGTGAGAGCTATGTAATCCCATTACTTTATTTTATAAATGAGAGATACAATCATTTTAATCATATTTATTTTTATCTATATAATAAAGTTCTTCGCTCATATATGCATATGTATAATATATATTTATATGTTAGCTATGGCTGGCCAAACGGCTCAACCGAATGGGCGGACATTTTTTTAGGGAACCCTTAACATAGGCTAAAATAATTTTTAAAAAAATTTCTTCAAAATTCTAATTTTTTTGATTCGAAATTTATTTTCAGGTGTTTCTAATATTGTATGGGCAACGCCTGGCACTTCAGCTAGTTGTTTTTATAGTTGATACTGCTCCTATTATAATTATTCCTATTTTTATCATTTTTTTCTTCTTTTTTCAGGGCCTCAGTAGCTGCCCCGCCGAATCTAAACCTGGAAGGCGGGGGCGGGGGACGGGTTGAATCTCTTCCCGCCGATTTATCCCGCTCTAAACCCTGCTCCCGCCCTTTCCTCATCTCAAACATCATGGGACTGGAGGAGAGGCGGGACCAGGATTCTCCACCCACCCACCACCACCAGGAGGAGGAGGATGGGGAGGAGGGAGGAGTGTCTCCGGGTGGTTCTCCGGGTCCAGATTCAGATTCAGATCTCATCGGAGCAGACGGAGACGAGGATAGTATAGCCAAGGTATCTATCTATTGATCAATCAATCAATCAATCAGTCAGCTAATCAATCTATCTATTTACCTATTTAGATGCGTAAGCAGCGAAGGTATAGGACGACCTTCACATCCTTCCAGCTGGAGGAGTTGGAGAAAGCGTTCTCTAGAACCCACTACCCAGACGTGTTTACTAGGGAGGAGCTCGCCATCAAGATCGGACTCACGGAGGCCAGAATACAGGTACAGATTAGGGGTTATTTTTTACACTGAAAACTGTACATACTGTGTGGTGTACTCTCAGTTTAACGATTTTTGTGTTCAGACAGGTACAGCCCTTGAGATCGCTGAACATGATGTGTTTTTTTTTTCTGGTTACAGGGCTCGAAAAAAATCTGCAAATTTTGAAAAAGAATATTTATATTGAGATTTTGTAGCTTATTTTGATATCGGAAAGTTCTTTAGTTCCCAGGATATATATATATTATATAGATAGATTTTAGGAAAATAACAGAGTGATTATTGACATGTCGGAAAGGGGATACAAGGGGGGGGGAAGGGGGGAGAGGTAAAGGGGGTGCAAATAGGGGAAGGGGGAGTAGAGGTGGTATAGTATGTAGGGAGTGGTGGGAGTGCTATCATTTCACGCAATCATGATAGATTTTGGAGAACTCAACCCAAAACTATTAAATCTTTTAATATTCTCGTATTTTTGACATTTTTTGTTCGTATTTAAAAAAATAAATAAACACCCTTTCGGAGTTTAAAGGTGCGATATTACTTAAAGTAAAATTTATACACAGTTTTCCACTTTATCGCAGAAAATTAAAGATTTAGCGGAATAATTAGTTACACTATACAGCTGGAAACATGCAGTTAATCCGTGGAATTTTCAAAATATTTCATATATTTATAAAGATATTTAGTAGATAATATTATGTTATTGATTGTGTGCAAAGGGTCCTTTTTAGGATTTTACGATTCATTTTAATAAATAGTACAATTTAGTTCACAGTCCCTTTAAAGCTGGGTTTAAAGCAAATCTCTGCAACATTTGTATTGTAAAAATTATTTTCTAATTAGGGATATGACGCGAAAATTTACAGTGTACATTTTGATACATTTAATTAAAATGATAAAACAAAAAGGGAACCAATTTAACATAGATTTGAGCAGTGTGAGGAGGGGGGTGGTGGGGGGAATAATGATTGGGGGAGAATTAATTGGTTCGTAATTTAAGTAAAGTTTAAATCAACGTTTTACGTTAAATAATCTTGTATTTTGGGAGAAACTGTTGATCTTTATATTTAGTTGGACACGGTGTAGGCTATTTCATATTTCGGGACACAGTGTAGGCTACTTTATATTTCGGGACACGGTGTATAGTAGACTATTTTATATTTCGGGACTCGGTGTATAGTGGACTATTTTATATTTCGGAACACGCTGTAGACTATTTTATATTTCGAGACACGGTGTATAGTAGACTATTTTATATTTCGGGACACGGTGTAGGCAATTTTATATTTCGGAACACTGTGTAGGCTATTTTATATTTCGGGACACGGTGTAGACTATTTTATATTTCGGGACACGGTGTAGGCTATTTTATATTTCGGGACACGGTAGAGGCTAGTTTATATTTCGGAACACGGTGTAGGCTATTTTATATTTCGGGACACGGTGTAGGCTTGTTTATATTCAGGGACACGGTGTAGGCTATTTTATATTTCGGGACAGGGTGTAGGCCATTTTATATTTCTGGACACAGTGTAGGCTACAGTTTACCACTTGTGTATTTTAGGGCAAATTTATTTACATTTATCATTTAAAAGTATAAGTAGAAGACATATGTAAATATTTAATTGATAATTATTAATTTTTTAGCAAGAGAAAAAACACCTGTGTTGAGTTCAACTTTAAATATTAAATGTATCTAAACCTTACCTAATTATGAGCTATTCTCTAAACTTCTAATTTGTCCGTTTTTACAGCTAATCTCACTAAGATCTGCTGTCAGAAAGCCGCTTCTCATATTTGTAAGCAATAGCTGATTTTTTCTAAACAGCTGATATTACAAACAGCTAATTTTAGTAAATAGCTGAGTTTAGTAAAAAAAACTGATATATTTAAACAGTTCTCACTAAGCAATTCTGCTTGTAGTTAAGAGCTGAGTTCAGTTGATTATTATCGCTGATAGTCCTACAGTAAATAACTGATTTCACTTGATTATTATCGCTGATATTACTAGAACTTAGTAAATAACTGATTTCACTTAATTATTATCACTGATCGAACTAAAGCTTAATAATTAACTGAGTTTACTTGATTTTTATCGCTAAAAGTACTAGAGCTTAGTAAAAAACTGATTTCACTTGATTATTACCGCTAATATCATTAGAGCTTAGTAAATAACTGATTTTACTTGATTATTATCACTGATAGCATTAGAGCTTAGAAAAAAAATGATTTTACTTTATTATTATCGCTAATAGTTACTAGAGCTTGATGATTATCACTGATAGTACTATGGAGCTTAGTAAATAACTGATTTCTCTTGATTATTATCGCTGATAGTACTATGGAGCTTAGTATATAACTGATTTCTCCTGATTATTATCGCTGATAGTACTATGGAGCTTAGTAAATAACTGATTTCTCTTGATGATTATCGCTGATAGTACTAATAACTGATTTCGCTTGATTATTACTCGTACTAGAAAGATGATCCAAATTTAACAAGTGGTCTCGCTAAATAAATTGACTAATTATGATTCAATTAGTTGGATATGAATAAAAATGTATACACATACTAATTGAGTGATTATATTAATATTAGTTGATTAGACGACATGATTGCATGACATAGCCTGGAGGGGTTGACAATTCAGTCTTCTTCACTTTTACTTTTCCTTCATCCTGCCCTCACTCTCTTCCCTTTATCATACCCTTCACTCTCTTCCCTTTATCATACCCTTCACTCCCCACTCTTTATCATACCCTTCACTCGCTTCCCTTTATCATACCCTTCACTCCCTTCTCTTCACCACATTCCCTTCACCCCATTATCCCTTCCTCCTGGATCCATCTTCCATTTTTCTCCCAATCTTAAAACCCTTTCAGTCCTCTCTCAATTTATATTACTCCTCTCCCATTTTATCTCACCCCCCCCCCCCTATCCAATTCCTTTTTCCATTCTATAATCTTAGAACTATTATGTCACACGGCTTGGATCTAAAACACCTTCCCCCCCTACCCCGTCAAATAATTGATATTTAAATGTTCGAATTCCCGGTTTCTATTTCCTTTAAAATACTTTAATTAATATTTGATGGGGGGTACTGGTGGAACCTAATTAAAGGAAACCTAGCTGACATGATACAATTAAACCATATTATGATTGACATGTCTGTAATTAAGGTAATTAAATTCAATTTGTGATTTCTAATATTATACACAAACCTATACCACCTCCCCCCCTTCCTGACAGTCTTGAAATCCAATCAGCTTGGGAATTTTTATTTAATTAGTATTTTTGTGTTAATTAACTTTTTTAAAATGCGAAAATTTGACAAAAAATATTAGTTAATTTATTTCTGGGTTAGGATTTTGGATTAGAAGTAATAAATATCGTAGTAAACCCCATATTTGTAAACCTGAACACACCTAGATATATTACGTTGTACATTATCTGTAACCTAACTACGCTCGTTAATTCCTGAGTAAATCTATAAGTCCTTATCATTAACATGTATTACGATTTAGTTTAATTACGCTCCTTAATTTAACATGTACCATGAAACTTAAAATATAGATCAGTTGGAATAAGAACTCTGCTTGATTACGGTATTAGAGTAATTGTTCCTCGTGTAGCGAACAAGAGGGACCTGAGTTGTATCTCGATTGGAAGATATAGACTAGGAAATACAGAGACTGTTGTATCTGGATTGATACAGACTAAGGTATTATTGTAGACCACAGAGTTTTAGAACAAGTTGTATCTCGGGTGATAGATACAGACCAATACAGAGAGCTAGATGTACCTGAGCAATACATACTAAAGAATACAATAGCTTTGATACAGACTGAGTAGATCGACCAGAGAGTTCGAGAGTTGTACCTGAGCAAAACAGACTAAGGTATCATTGTAGACCGCGGAGTTCTAAAGAAGTTGTATCTTGTTTGATAGGAACTGACTGATACGGAGGTTGTATCTGGATTGATACTGACTTATGAAAACTTTTGTTACATTTGTTACAAGAATATATTATATATCATTCAGAATATAGCATAGTTTTTTTCATCTGGGCTTTTTTCTAAACTTGGGGCTCCATTTAGAATCTGGAATTTTATCTAAACACGGATTATCTTTAATCAGGGTTTCAATCTTGAAGCCGGGTTTCAATCCTAAATCCGGTTTTCTGTTTTTAATCCGGGTTTCTATCTCAAATCCGGAATTCTGTCACAAATCCGGGATTCTGTCAAAAAGGTCCCAGGATTATAACCCGGATTTCTCGCCTGGTTTGTTGAGTTTGCCCTGGTTGGATTCATATATCCAGGTCCGCCCTTGCTACTGGCAACAATAAAATAATTACAATTATGTCAATTAAACCATTATATTTTATTGTCCTTTATTGTCGAAGATTGGACTGCAGGACTAATAGCTCCGGTATACTCGAGCTACATAGAACCTAGATCATTAACCATCTCAAGCTTTCTACTTTTTATACATCTTTTTTTAGTCTTCTTTTTATTTATTTCCATTCTTATATTTATCGTATTCTAGGTTTGGTTCCAGAACCGGAGAGCTAAATGGAGAAAACAGGAGAAGGTTGGACCAAACGGACACCCCTACAGTCCATACGGTCCTCCTCCTGGACTCAGTCTTGGTCCTGGTCCCATGGGTGCTCTTCCAGCCTCCCCTGGAGGCCCTTTCTCCTCCCTAGGGTTCATGGGGGCCGGCCGGAAACCGTTTGAAGGGCCCGGGAGTCCGTTAGTTTCAAACAAATTTCCGAATTCTTTCCTAACCCAGGAGCAGCATCAGATGCTTCCTTCCCTGATGCACAACCGTCGGGAACATCCTCATCATCCTCTCCTACCCCAACTCCGTCCTCCATTTATTCATCCCAGCCTCTATCCAGCCCTAGCCTCACTATCCTCCGCTCCAGGGTATCCGCCGTCTATGGCCTCTTTTCACTCCGTCCTCGCCAGTCTCTCCGCCTACCGACCTGGACTACACCAGGAGATACCAGATTACGCTTCACTTCTCCGAGCAGCGGCATCGCCCCCCTCGCCTCCGGCTTTCTCCGACGAGGCGAAAGCTCGACTTGACTCCGCCAATGATTTAAGAATTAAGGCTCGAGAGTTCGAACTGAAACTTGAATTGGAGAGCAAAGGTTCAGAACCATAATCCACGGATCTCTTAACCTTTCTCTCTTCTGTGCTCTTTAGGATACTTTGAGACCTATGGCTCTCAAGGAACCAAGAGAACTTAAGAAAGTTTAGTTAATCCTGCTTTTAGTGTTTTAAGAAAACTCTGTGATAATCCCGTCCTCTCTCTCTCTATATCTCTCTTTCTCTTTCTACACCCAGTGTGAAGTACTAAATATACAGGGTGAATCAGAGAAACAGACATTGATAAAACCGTCTCAGACACCCTGTATATCCTCAAATATTGTATAATTAACCATTCCTAAGTATTTGTTTTTGATGCAATTGTTAATGCATTTTTATTTTATTTGAATAGAATTATATACATAGTGCTTTAGACAAATCATATTTTAGTTATTGTCTTTTTAATGATCGATAGATAGATTAATAATAGATATAAAGAGATAGATAGATAGATAGATAGACAGATAGAAAGATAGATAGATAGATTTATAGTCAGACAGACAGACAGATGTAACAAGATGCAAATAATTGTAAATTGAATAATAAAATGCGGTTAGAACCTTAGAAACAAATAGACTGTACGGGAGAAGGTTAGATAAATAAACGCATAGCTAGGTAGGATAGATAAATAGATAGCTAGGAAGGATAATAGACTATACTGTAGAGGGTTAGATATATAAATGCAAAGCTAGGTAGGATAGATAAATAGATAGCTAGGAAGGATAATTAGACTATACTGTAGAAGGTTAGATAAATAAACGCATAGCTAGGTAGGATAGATAAATAGATAGCTAGGAAGGATAATTAGACTGTACGGTAGAGGGTTAGATAAATAAATGCATAGCTAAGTATGATAGATAAATAGATAGCTAGGAAGGAAAAATAGACTGTACGGTAGTAGGTTAGATAAATAAATGCATAGCTAAGTATGATAGATAAATAGATAGCTAGGAAGGATAAATAGACTGTACGGTAGAGGTTTAAATAAATAAATGCATAGCCAAGTATGATAGATAAATAGATAGCTAAGAAGGATAATAGACTGTATGGTAGCAGATTAGATAGATAAATGCATATCTAAGTATAATAGATAAATAGATAGCTAGGAAGGATAATAGACTATATGGTAGCAGATTAGATAGATAAATGCATATCTAAGTATAATAGATAAATAGATATTATCTAGGAAGGATAAATAGATTGTACAGTTAAAGGTTAGATAAATGAATGCATATAGAGATAAATAGATAGCTAGGAAGGATAAATAGACTGTATGGGAGAAGGTTAGAAAAATAAATGGATAGCTGAGTATGATAGATAAATAGATAGCTAAAGGATAAATAGACTGTATGTTAGAGGGTTAGATAAGTAAATACATAGCTAGGTATGATAGATAAATAGATAACTAAAGGATAAATAGACTGTACGGTATAGGAGGTTATACAAATAAATGCATAGCTAAGTAGGATAAGGATAGATAAATAGATAGCTAGGAAGGATAAATAGACTGTACAAGAAGAGGTTAGATAGATAAGTGCATAGCTAAGTATGATATATAAATAAATAGCTAGATTGACTGTACCGGTACGGCAGGAGGTTAGATAAATAAATGGATAGCTGAGTATGATATATAAAAAGATAGCTAGGAAGGATAAATAGACTGTACGATAGAGGGTTAGATAAATAAATGAATAGCTAGGTAGGAGAGATAAATATATAGCAAGGAAGGATAAATAGATTGTACGGTAGAGGGTTAGATAAATAAATGCATAGCTACGTATGACTAGGGTTGTTAATCGTTTTTGAAGACGATTGTTATACGATCGTTTTTTTCGTTTTCCTATCGTTTTTTGTTTCGTTTTCCGATCATTTAAAAAACAATCGTTTTAAAAACTTTTAAAAAAACGATAGTTTTTAAAACGATCGGAAAACAAAACAAAAAACGATAGGAAAACGAAAAAAAAGATCGTTTTTCAAAAAAAAATGAAAACGTTAACATCCCTACGTGCGCGTATGATAGATAAATAGATAGCTAGGAAGGATAAATAGACTGTACGGTAAAAGGTTAGATAGATTTTTAAATAGATAGTAAGGTGGAATAGATAGCTTGGAAGGATAAATAGATATAATATAGATATAAAATTGGTAAGCACAATGAACAAATAGAGAACTAAGATAGATGTATCTTTACTGTACCAAGGGTTGAAAAAGAGGATACTAAGGTATAATTGCTAGATGTAAAGGAAAATTTAAACCTAGTCACAATTACTAAATCTCTTATACTATCAAATACAAAGGTTCAACTATACATAATACACTAAATCTCTTATCCTATCCAATACAAAGGTTCAACTATACCTAATACATTTACTAAATCTCCTTTTCTATCCAATACAAAGGTCTAACTATCTATATAATAAAGCTCTTCGCATATATATAAGTTAGCTATAGCTGGCCAACCGGCTGATATTTTTTTAGGGAACCCTCAAAATTCACAATTTTTTATATTTCTAAAATTCCACGGGCAACGCCGGTCACTTCAGCTAGTACCTAATACAATTACTAAATCCTATCCATGAAATCCTAGGCAAAGATTATGAATGATTAATAGATTGATGAATGACTGTAGAGGAAATTAATCATAAGCTATGTTGTAGATACTAGATAGATAGATAGATGTCGGTGAAGACTGAATCTGATCAAATATTGACGTGATACCTTTTAATTGATTTAATCGATACGGAGTAATTCTAATCAATGGGAAATTCAATTATATTTCATGTTTTGATACAATCCTACTTAGGAGATAGTTATACAGCTAGATAGTACAATCCTACTATGGAGACAGTTATACAGCTAGATATTGAAATCCTACTTAGGAGATAGTTATACAGATAGATAGTACAATCCTACTTAGGAGACAGTTATACAGCTAGATAGTACAATCCTACTTAGGAGATAGTTATACAGCTAGATATTGAAATCCTACTTAGGAGATAGTTATACAGCTAGATAGTGAAATCCTACTTAGGAGATAGCTAGATATTGAAATCCTACTTAGGAGATAGTTATACAGCTAGATATTGAAATCCTACTTAGGAGATAGTTATACAGCTAGATATTGAAATCCAACTTAGGAGATAGTTATACAGTTAGATAGTGAAATCCTACTTAGGAGATAGATATACAGTTAGATAGTGAAATCCAAGGTTATAAGGCAAGGGAAGTTAATTGCAGTTGCGTATACTCTGCGTACATATTGAAACCAGCTCTCTCTGGGCGTAATTTTTAAACAAGAATAGATGCATCAATGTTTGTTTAGTATCCGTGGAGGATAAAAGCATTTAATTAAAAAAATGTTGATAATTCACTTAATAGTTTCCTTTGACCAGAATATTTCATTGATTTTTTATGTGAAAAATGGATCCTATGTCATGCCGTGACATCCGTCTTGTGTTTACATTACCGCCCAGAGACAGTACACTGCAGTACAAAAGATGCGTACACCTCTGAAAAAACTTTCCTTGCATTATAACCTTGGTGAAATCCTACTTAGTAGATAGTTTTTTAAATAGTGACTGATTGAAGAAAGTGAAATCCTACTTTTGTGATTTGCAACCCAGAATCAAGAATTGATCTTTTTTATGCAGACCTTTACAGATTAGTTTAATTCCAATTCAATATGCCGTCGTAATCATATCCTGCAAGGATAGTTTTAATTGAGAATCAAGCTACGCACCTCTTATCCTTTAGTAAATTCAACCTAAATTCTGCCCGCGTTAACCTTGTTGCACTGGCTAGTCCTATTGATTGTCTGCTTTATTTACCCAATGTCCGGGCGATACAGTACAAACTGGGACCGGAAAGGTTGACCCGGCTTGGAAATTCAAATGTAATACGGCTGACCGTGAAGCATATATCTTTGAATGTAGATATTTAACATAAAGAAGGAATAGACATTTCATGTCTTTCCTTCATTATTAAATAAGTTTAAGTATGGATAATTAATTACTTCTGTTCCTTAAATTAGTATAATTTTGTAAATATGAAAACCCTGCAAAAACATTTGATAAGTTGTTATGAAACACTTGTTTATTTACAGGAAGAGTCATAATTTTTGTCAAAACTGAATCTAGTATTTAATATAATATAATGTTTTTCTTAACTTCATTACAAAATCAGGAACCTCATTTTTAAATCTTGATAAAGTTTTGGTATACCTTATCAAACCAATGTTGTAGACCTTGGATATTTCAAACCAAGGATTGTAAGGCAAGGAAAGTTATTTCAGAAGTGTACACATCTTTTGTACTGCAGTGTACTGTCTCTGGGCGGTAATGTAAACACAAGACGGATGTCGAAGCCTGAAATGGGATCCATCTTTCACATAAAAAATCAATGAAATATTCTGGTCATAGGAAACTATTATGTGAATTATCAAAATTTTCAAAATTTAATGCTTTTAACCTCCTCGGATACTAAACGAACACTGATGCCTCTATTCTTGTTTACAAATTCCACCCAAAGAGAACTGGTTTCGAAATATACGCAGAGTATATACGACCGCAATAAACTTTCCTTGCCTTACATTCTTGTTTCAAACTATGAATTTTGTTACATAAAAAATTTGATGTTAGAAGTATTAACGGTTTAGTTCATCATTATTTTAACTTAAAGGAAAATTTGAAGAGAGTACACAACTGAAAATGTTAAGCCATGATCGGGGACCATTTAAAACGGAGTTTAGTCATGTTTTACACAAGCTGTTGTAGGTAAAGCGAGATAGTGTAATAGGTATATATGCTTATTTTTATCGATTTTCAGCCTTTTAAAGGACGGACTGTCGTTAACTTTCATGTAAACCTCCGGTCATAAAAAAGGGCATGTCCAATTCACAATTCGGTACCTTTCCAAACTTTATCTGTAATAATGTTTTCTGGAAAAGTGTTCATTTCTGACAATTTCTTTCACTGCTTCTCTAGCAGAAATCCGCAAGTCATTTTTCTAGAGAAACAAGAGTCTACATTTCTGTTTTTTGATTGTTTACTTTCCCCCCCCAAACAACTGTACGGCAGGATGAAGTAAATATTACTTAAATATAATAATATTAATGTTAACTGATTATCTGACAGTAATGAGAAACAATTAGAAACTGGTAATGAGTATAATAGTTTGTTCTAATTAGTGACTACGAGGTCAAGATGCTTAAAGCCACATAACTATATGCTCATTTATCATCAAGCAATAGAACTGTTCAAGTAGTTTTAATATTTTTTTTCGTTCATTTCATTTAAAATTAATGTGGTTTTTTCTCAATTTATGTCATTTTCATTAATTTGATCATTTCTGTAACCCTGGGTATGTATATTGTAAAAGCAGCAA